TACCATGAGGTGATCCGTCAGCTCGTTTATCTCCTATTCCTAAAAAATTAGCCTCTTGTCTGCCGGTATATGAGACACAATAGAAAAACATTGTATTTTGCGTATATCCGTGCATACCACGGATTAATAGGTCCTCCTATGGCCTCTTTGATGTAAGTGGGGTAGATTCTATAGGTAGGTACTTATTTAAGAATATCACTGCTACTCCCTATTCCTCCTAAGTACTTCACGCTTAAATCTAAAGTCGGTGGCTACTAAAATTCTGAAAGCACCTCATTAGTAATCTGTTATTTATTTACTTTTATGAATTAAAATTAGAACTTAGTAATTTAATTACTGTAACCAATAAAACAAAGGAGGATTCCTCCATAATTACAATTTCATAAGATCAGCACAGAGATCAGATAAGAATACACTGAAAAAAATTTGAGGTTAGCAATCGGATCTTTTTACTAACTTATTGCGATTTTTGAACTTTTTGACCTTTTACGACTTGTTTCGAATATAAGTAACAAACAAAACATTAATCAGATAAAGAACTGATAAATGAATATTTTAAGATAATAATGTTAGTCGCGGTTTCGTAATTAATAACATTCAACAAGTTTGAAATGGTTCGTAAAATTATATCGGGGCTTTCCGACATAACAAACCACATTCTGAACTCAGTAAGCCAGTAAATCTAGACGTTATAACCCCTATTTCGGAAATATATTGCCGAAAGAAATTGCGCAAAAAACAGAAATCTTAGATATTCCAGGACATAATGGTAGTAGGTACTTCTTACTACAAGTTCAATAGTGTCGATATATTATAGTTAATAGCACCATAATATAAAAACTGAGTTCAGATTTATAGCAAATGTTTTTGAGGGTTCCAAGTTATCCAATTTTGTTTTTTTTTCTTTTGTTCCTACAAACATAAAAGGACAATAAATGACATATACTATACAAATATATAAGGCGATATTTTTGCTTCATGTAATTTTTCCTCCTTATTCTAAGTTACTAGGAGTCAAGGTTATTAACTTTTTGAATAGTTTTGCCCCTTCTCGTCTCTGTTTTTTTTTCTACTGGCCCCATATACACACACGGTCCATCCGCGATTTTTTTATATCGTCCTCTTCTTTTCCAAATTCAGTATTTCCTATCATCACCAGCCCATGAGTGCCCACTACTAAGCAATGTCTTGTTCTAATACGGATAATATGGGAGCATTGATCACAAAGCTTGTTCAACGCGAATTAGCTGTTTCATACAAATAATTAACAATCACAAGTCAACGATTTACTTGATCGTGATCGCCAGTGGTGTTTAAATACGCCTAGAAAGTACCTATAATTCAGAGAGAGTCATATTGGTATAGGCTAGGTTTCGAACCCTAAGGTTACACTGCTTTTCTTTCAAGAAAAAGAAGGTGCCTTAACATCAGGGTCTAAAATTTAAATAAAATTCTATGTCTCCCATTTAGGTAGTCAGAGACAATTATTTTTCGATTATATTCATCAACCTTTATAGACATGCTGTTAATTTGAACCTTTCAAATATCGACTATTTGGTCGCTACAAAAATACAACACAAGAAAAAAGCTGCTATATTTTTTTATGTCAAAAAATCTAATCTTTATATGACAACTAGTAGTTAATAAACACGTTTACCACGTGAACACTAAATGGGTTTGAATGGGCCGTCGGAAGTGTCAAGCTGTCATATTTAATGTGATCATCACGACTTTTTTTGTGATACTCAATCGAGTTAAAGAGAAAAAAATTGACACGATGTTTTTGTCATAAAAACGTAAAAATGTGTTCAGACGAATTTATACCTTATTTATTGTATGACCCTTGCTTAATTGATAATATTACCCATTCTTAGAGTAATTAGCTGTCGTAGCGTGTCACTACATTATTTTTTGAATTATGAAATGGAGAAAAAATATTCAACTTAAGCCTATTTCATTGGGAGTACATAAATCGTACAGATTACGACCATTACCAACCATTTTGGTCTGTAGAAAAATAGTCAAACAAACTCTAAGTTGGTTTAGGCGTCGACAACCAGGATAATCAAAAGGAGCAACCGAGATGACGCCAGGTAAATATCCATCATGACTTGTATTGTCTACTAAGTACAGTTTTTTTAAAACTTTGCCCCACAATAGGATTTTCTCCTGTGTCATGGGTGCGTTTACCAACATACAAATTCACATACACGTAACACCCAGACCCGGAACAACAATTTGTGGAACACATAAAGAGTTAACTAAAAATCGCGGGTTACTCACGTGTATATATTGAGAAAAGCTCTACTAGTTTCGAACCGCAGAGGGGTTCTTCCTCATGAGCAGCGTGCGCGGACGCGGCGACGTCGCGCAGCCTACCTCAGTAGGCTGCGCGACGTCCCCCTCCCTCTGTGGTTCGAAACTAGTAGAGCTTTTCTCAATATATACACGTGAGTAACCCGCGATTTTTAGTTAATTTAGTATGTCTCACGATAGTTATTATAAAAACATAAAGAGTTGTTCCGTGCGTTAATCGAAACCGCGACACGTTGCGCGGCAGCCAGTTGCCCAGCCACCGCACCAATTCTAGAGATTAGTAGGAGCCAACAAACAAATAGCTGTTTATATATAGTATTCAGCTATTATAATATTAGTAGAGATAATACTAACGTTACAATAATGTTACAAGCCTAATTAATTAAACGTTTGTAAGACACTGTCTACCTATGCTGAGTATATCTATTATTATGTTCAGTAGAAGCTTTGTTGCGGTTTCAATATGGATGTAAATTAATCGTAGTAATGAGGAGACTTGTACCATGAGGCTGTTAGATCTCTGAAGAGGTAGGCTGAAGTGTGTTGTGAGTGGATCTAAGACGAAAAATAAGAAAAAATCTAAGACTTACGAGTCCGTTGCCGGCCTTTTGGGGATAGAGGTTGGGGATATAAGGATCGTGAAGGGATAGGGGAGGGGGAGGGATTGGGCCTCCGGTAACCTCACTCACACGGCGAAACACAACGCTGTGGGTTGTTTCACGCCGGTATTCTGTGAGGCCGTAGTATCACTCCGGTCGAGCCGACCTATTCGTGCCGAAGCTTGGCTCTCCCACACTTAAACGTAGTATAAAAAAAAGTAGCTTCCTCGGGCTCTATATCCTTATGTATGCTTAAATCTTTTAAACTACACAATGGATTATGATGCTGTGGTAATAGATAACGTGAATGAAGAGGAAAGTTTCTGTGAATGAATTATGTTCAAACACGAAGTAGTTACTGTAAACCGTTCAGGAGTTCCCTGAGCTGTCCTTCGTTCTCATCATCAGCCCTTAATGACAGTTACGACCAGGCCTGGTGCAAAGTGCTCGCCAATACGATACGAATCATCAAGTCCAAACCCAAAACAACTACTCCAAATAGTCAAGAGGATCCCTCGACTGTCTTCCAGCTCCAACATCAGGTCGACTTCCACCTTCGTCAAGTTGTAATGTTGTAAAAATTCTACTTAAACATCATACAAAAGAACTACTCGCCCCTACAATTTTTGATAGTTCCCCTCGATTCCTCCAGGATTCCATCATCAGATCCTGACCTCATGATAATGGGACCAAATGGCAAGTATACCCTATCAAATAAAAAAAGAATTTTGCAAATCGGTCTAGGCGTCTTCGAGTAATCGGTGTACCTATATACATAAAAAAATACGCATCGAATTGAGAACATCCTCCTTTTTTGAAGTCGGTTAAAAATAACATCTTATAAATAGTGAAGAAATTTAGTATCAGAATTGCACCTATGCGAAGTCGGGATGGGTTGCTATTTAAAAAATAAACCTTGTCAAATAATGTTGCGAAAAATGTTGTCAGATCTTACATGTCCATATTATTATGTTGTGTCCAAAAATGCTTAGGAACAAAACCATGGGCCGGAAGTATCTCATGTTTCAAAAATTACTCGAGCGCCATACAAAAAGAAAATTTATGGTAGAATTTTTAACCAGCTTACAAAGTAATCTTTGAACTTATGAGGTTTGAGCCGGGTTTCCGTGACCTTTTGTGTTGGACCACTTTGTGTAAACGTTTTAAATAACCATCTCCCGACAAAGTGAAACCGAAGTTTGCACTTTGTTGATCGAGAGAAAATTTACATGAAAATAGAATGTTACGAGAACAAAACTTCCTCTAACTGCAGATTGTTTATACCATAACTAATTAAGGAAAGACCTAATTAACTTGCACGCTGCTCCTTTCAACATTACTGTTCTAAAAGTATTTACATACGTTGCTCACCTAGAAAATAACTTAACATTAGCGTGACATTATTGCTAAAGTTTATGCCTTGTCATTATTACCTACGTTTCTATAAACGACACAAGTTTTAAACGGTTCGAGATGATCTTGATAAGCGTCCTTTTGAATAAAACAACCTATTTTGTTTATCAACGAAAATGATTCATTGCGGCTTAAACGCACAAAATTGCACCTTAGCTTAGAGGAAATAAGACTGAGATCTTGTATTCGTAAAATACTAGGGCTATAACTTACCCATGCCTATATTTGTCATAATCTAGATGATAAAATTAAGTAAAACAAGGTATAAATCAAGTCGCAATTTCCGTTTGTAAAAGGTGGTCAGTTAAGAGGCTTGTGCAGTACAAATTGTGGTTTGACCTACCTGCCACTTTATGTACTTTTTGTATATATGACGTTGTTGCTAAACTCGCATTAAACTTGGCACAAATTATGTATAAAAAATAAACTTGGTACGCATACGCTTGACTAACTCGCTTAGTGAGCGACGGCTTGTTGTTATAAATATGAATAAATCTTGGGACTTTGAATTCGGGAGTGTTGTTATTGTTACGGCTATACGCATTTTGTAGTCGCATAAATACATCGTCAAAGTGTTAGCTGCATTCATATTCCAAAGATGCACTCGTCCCTTGTCTCCAATACATAATGCATAATATACATATTAGAAGAATAGATGGATATTTGATATACCTTGAGTCAATTGTAATCACTGTTTCTTGTGAGATATGGACCGGCTTCCTCCGGTTCGAGCGGCGTCAACTAAATTCCTGTCTCGATATACCGAGAGTAGCACTTAACTTGGTCAGTGGACCCACTTTTGGGGAAAGACACAGTGAAAACACGTATAAAACTGGTATGTGATAACGATGCAGCGCGTGGAGGTGGTCTCGCGGGATGCGCGTAGGCACGAGCGTCGCGCGCGGCTCGCGGTTATCAACTAAACACATTAAAAATGCCGGTTGGTACACAACCTGCGAACACTTTTCTCATCGTGTGTATCTTTCCAGCTCGCTGCATTGTTGATTCGACAGGCCACAGCCATCTCGACAATGTTTCCTATTCGATTCTATTCAACTATAATCGATTTGCAGGCGTGTTTAACATTATCTCAAGGTCATGTTGATTTCGATCGATTTTGATTGTGTCGATATTGCCGAATACGTACCTTTTACGTTAGCTGTGACGAATGGCTTTGCGGTCGATACGCAGGTAGTGGAATATACGATTGACTGTTTTTTTTTAATTAGCTCTTTTTTTGCGCAAACTAAATGTAATAAAAGTATTGTCATCTTCAAAAATAATACTAATGAATATTTTGTTATTATACAGATCGTTGTTTTTAAGGATATGATGCATATAATAACTTTAAATCTTATAAATAAATCATATTAGGTGTAATTTATGTTAATTTGGTTTTCTATTTGCTGTTTTTCATAATCACTTAAGACAGATTATCTTATTAATTTACATCTATTCACAGAGATTTATTTTTAATAAAAAAAATCGCCCTTTTTCAAATTAAGTTTTATATGTTTTTTTAAAGAGTCAGTTCATGTCCATGTTAAATACATACCTAGGTACAGTGTACAAAATAATATTATTCTACTAAATGCAAATGTTAACCCATTAAGAGTAAGTACGAATGATATCTATAGATATTAGGTAGATATACATACATCGGTTGTCAGCATTCCTGATTTGGTTCTTGAGGTCAAGGACAATAATAAAAAAAAATAATTCAACTAGGTAGTCAAAATGAATCTATAAACTTTGCACAAAAATGACATGTTTTTTGAAAAATAAAAAAACAATACGCATATTAACTACTTATATCGTAAAATCAATAAATAGAAAGTCTAAAAATAATCTGTAATTAAATATTTTATTTCGTTTTGATTGGTGAATAAATGTAATTTATTATTGAATCCTCAATCAATTCAATCCACACTACCCAATACGCATATCGTAAATGTAACAACACCGACAGGAACTTTCTTCGAAGGGAAATGATGATATTATATACAGAGAATCAACACAAATGAACGTTAATGATCGTTTTATTAAAGCTGATGAGGGAGAGGAAAATTGTATTTGCATTATTCTATATTGTTTTCCTTGTAATAAACCCGTTATAGTTTTTCAAGGATGTTTTGTAAAGGACATGTGTCATCGGTGTCATTCACTTCTCTGGAATGACAATTAGATAAATATTAATCTTTGCTGCTATTTGTTATGCCGATGCTGATACAATACGGGGATAAGATTGTTATCAAAGAATTATTGAAGAAGTGTGTCGTGGTGGCCCGGAGGTTAAGGAGCCCGCTTCTCATGCATGAGGGTGTGGGTTCGAAACCTGGCAAGTACCAATGTGACTTTTTCCGAGTTATATGTACTTTCTATGATTATTTAGACACCACTGACAAACGGTAAAGGTAAACATCGTGAGGAAACCTGGACTTATAATTTATAATTATAAGTTTGAAATCGCCAACCCGCATTGAGCAAGCGTGGTGATTAACGCTCTAACCTTCTCCGTACGAGAAGAGGCCTTTGCTCAGCAGTGGGCACTTATAGGCGGATGATAATGATTGAAGAAGTATCCTGTCTTTAACCATTTATTTGTGAGTTATTAATAAGCGTTCAAGTACTACGTGTCTTCTTTTGTCTTATTTGGGATTCGTATGGGCCTGTTTCACAACTGTTTCATATTAAGTGCCCGTAATAGTGGTCTGGCAAATATTAGTATTCAATTATAATTATATAACTTATTGTGAAACATATTCATGAAGTACGAATAAAATATATTGTTGTTTTATTAGTTTTTTTTTGTCCTAGCATTTTTTTGTACTTCGACCTAAGTATAACAGTGACCAATTAGAAAAATAATATTCTAGAAAATACTATTTCTGTTAGCGGCTTCGCGAGCAATACCGATGTAAAAAGTAGTGTCTAGTGTCTGTGTTATTCCATACTAGATAATCTATCTCTGTGCCAAATGCCATTCTGAATTGTTGAGCAGTTTTAACATAAAATAATAACAAACGTCCATCCACGCTTACAAATTTTCGTATTTATAATACTAGTAAGCTACCACGAGTAGATAGGCTTACCAATTTCATGGAATTCTGTACTATTATAAATTATCATTCAAAGCTTCGCAAAACCTCGTAAGTAATAAAATATTTTCTAAGTATACAAACTGAAAAATATACAGCTGGATTAGTTGCTAAGGATGGACTGACAACCATTTTTGCAATAAGTACCGATATTGGTATGGGTTGTTATAGTTATGTAGTGTGATTAATGGTCGCTTCCATAACGTACGATCTTTGGGGAATATCGCCTATTCGATGGTATTCGTATACCTTGCTATAGCGGTACTGGTTCCCCATACCCCATATTATAATGCTATACTCAGCTTCAATTGAACCATATTTTATCAGTTGCCTACCGCATATGTTGTTATTTATTTCAAGAGGTGTGGTCAATGTGTTCAATGTGTTCATTCATATATTTTTTCTTGGTCTTTTTAATCGAGTTTTTGACCTTTTGCATTCGAAGGCGAATTGGTTTTTATTTTTCCAAAGTTGTTACCAACTCGTGTATCTGATGAGAAACTCACCTAGTCTCAGTAAACTATCGACGTTCACTGTACGTCGTGTAAATCCATGAGTATGTGCCCCGTTTTTTTAATGTAAAACGGCGGCAAACGAGCAGACCGATTACCTGATGATAAGCAATCAGCGCCACCCATTGAAAACCGTGAAACTCGAGTTACGAGTGCGTCGCTGAATTTTTGCGGATTAGGGATTAGGAGATTTTAGGATTGAGGAAGTTTTGAGCCTCCGATAACCTCAATCACACGGCGAAACACAACGCTGTGATTGTTTCACGCTGGTTGTCTGTGAGGTAGAGGTAAAGTGTAGTTTGAAACTTATTTTTCTTTTAATTTACAACTTTTCTGTGCATTATTCTCACATATAGGTACAATTATGTATATTAAATAATATTTTAGTGAACGTGTGGTGGAGCTTCTTTCTCGTTCATCTCCATTCGAATCTATACTTTGGAACGTCCGCCTAGCTTCTCTGACGAACACACTGACAGTCTAAGTATTATTCTTCAAAAGTAAGTATTTATGGTTTAGTTAGAGTAAATGACTATGACTTTGACTTGACTTCGAAAACCAGTCGTACTAGTAAAGATAAATTAATTATAACAATATCTCATAAAATGTATAACACGAAGTTGTTAATCTTGTAATCATCAATTTGTTACATGTTAAACACATCAGGCGTAATTGATACCATAAAATATGAGGTGGGTTTTGTTACACATATAGTATACCTAAATAATACACCATCCATCCATAATCCCAGACTGTGTGTCATAAAGTGAGTGTGGATACCTGTAAATTCAAAATCACAACGAAAACCTTTCTTGTATCGTAAGGAATTCGATAGATTTAAACAGATTTATCGATCAGAGTGCTCAGTGCAAGTTTGTTTTGGTTTAACGCGTTCGTAACGTTACTTTGTTAAGCCCTTTGATTGGTTGGTTAGCTCGGAGCGGGCCAATCAGGGCGCTAAACGTCATAAAAGTGTCGATAGTCTTTAAGTAAAGTAAACTCGTACTAGAACTTCAGAAATACTATTAGACCAGAATCGTTGTTCAAATCTTATAAACATTTAAAGCTTGTAACTTTGTTGTCATTGTCACTAATTGTGTTTACAATTTTAACAAATGTTTTTTTCGTAATTAAGGAAACAAAATATGTAAACACAAGGGCTTCATAATGACGAAACAGATTAGGACGAAGGCTTGTTAACATTTTGTCTCCGCACGAAGAATTTCGTTGGAACATTTGTAAGTATATTGTACAATTTGTAAGATAAACTTTTACTGCCTAGGAATGAGAATCTTCTAGTTATTTCGTGTAGTTACATTGTTATGACTTACTTTGTCCTGTTTTGTGGGCTTTATTGTATTTAAAAATGTATAACAATGGGATAACAATACTTATATGGAACTATGTAAATAGTTATGTACGGAGTAAGTGTGAAGGTCATGAAGTTAGGTAAGATTTGCTCTCAAAGTGTTTCGTTTTAATGCCTAGAACACGGCTTTGTTTTATAGTTATTACGACATTGTTAGTTAACATAATATGCTAGGCCTATCGCGATGGTCCCCAAATGTATAGTTGTACACCCACCAGTTGTTTTGTTAGTCCTAAGTAATAAAAGTTGCGAGTTCTGTTTAAATTAATGCCCAAAATTCTTTGGCCACGACTAGATCGAGCTTCCAATTCGGAAAAACTCACTTGAAACTATTGAAATAATGAGTTTATTTCAGCCAAATAGTCACCGATTTTAATGGTATAGGTCGCCAAACGATTAGAGGGATTACCTGATGGTAAGCAACCATAACAACCAAGGAGTTGGGTCTCCGGTAACCTCACTCTCACGGCGAAATACAACGCTGTGCTTGTTTCACCGGTTTTCTGTGAGGCCATGATATCGCGCTGACCCATATGTCATATCTTTCCACATTGATATTTAGCGAACATTACATAGGTTTTTTCTATCACGTATTTTTTTGCAAATAAACAAATAATTAAATCTCATCACACATTTTACTACAACGTTCGTATAATGTGAGTTCTGGAACCTATCGTGCTTTTATCACGCTATCAAACAATTACAAGCTTCGCTGCCGTCGAAAATAAATGTTCCCAAATTGGAATATATTTCTAGTCTGAAAAAGCCTTTCCTATACTCTGAGCAGGCAGAGATGCACTGATGCATTATAGGTAAGTGCTTCATGACAATGGTAAGTAACTTGATTGCTATACAAGTAAATAAAAAAAAGAAGGTACCTATTATTAAGGACTGCACGGTTGACGCAGTGGCTAGGTTACCGGCTGCTGTTT